AGATATCCAGTTTTGAACATTTGAACAATTTTTTAACCTTACCAACACGCCTTTCAAGGGATCTAAATTGGTTGATGCTTGCAATACGATTAGAATCACTACAGAGTGCATATAAAGCCAGTCACCGTACCTCTGATGTCTTTGCTGTCGTGATTTCTCAGGGATACGCATGCACTTTCTTGATTACCCTTCTGTCTCAGTACGATTTCACGTCATCTTCCTCTTCTCAAAAATGTCCCGGAGTACAGCTCTTCTGTCTGGACTATCTCTGGATTTTGCTGCTTGTTCTTCTACCCATGTTCGGTTTGTTCAGTTTGGTATGTATCTTCTTAATTAATTAGGTACTTCAGGGTTCCGTCTCATACCCTCAACTCCTTCTACTTCATGCTGGTGATTTGAAATCACCTTATGAGTGATCATGTGCTAGGTGTGCCGATAATACTGTTGCTGGTCACCCTGCCAAAAATGAGGGTGATACCAAGGCTCTTAAGTAGTGCTAAGATTATATCTTGCATCTTCAGTGTGCGGTCATCTTTCAGTACTGAAGCCTTTACCCTTCTGTCTAGTAAAATGTCATTTTTCCATTATCCTGGTATTACCCTGCCTTCCAATGTCTCATTCTGCCTTCAAGTTTCTACATGTCTCCTTCCTCCCTCTTATCTTTGTTTTGCTTTACTAACAAAGAATACTATCTTTTTAAGCTACCTTTGCACGACTTATTCTGCTGCCGCTTTTATTTATTTAGTTCTAGTCGATCCATGAGTTGAGGCATCCAACAACAGTGAGACACTTTAAAAATTGAATCCTTATGGACGTTGTCTTCAGTCTTCGCGTCAACCGATTTTCAACCCAGCGTGGCCTCCACCAAAACTCTTAGCGAACTAGTTACAACTAAAGAATGGATTCGTAACCAGGATCGGCCCCACTCACTCTCCCCGCACACACTAATAACCTGTCCGGACCTGTCACCTGTGCACAATCGTAGTCCTTCTTTGTAGCTTAGTTTTTTTTTCGTTTTTATGTCGAGTTTTAGATGACTGTTTCGCTGATTAACCCGCATCCTCTGAACTATGGCTATGCTTGCTTTCTGTATCGATTTCCTTGGCAGGCTTTTACTGCAGTGGCCTCCTGCTCGCGATTCCTGCCCTGAAACGTCAATAACCAATGAAACGTTGTCGTGGGCTTTTTGCAGGCCACCAAAAGCCTAATACAGAGGCCCGCTCTTATGACAGAAATTATTTAATCGTTTTTAAAATGGAGAGCCACCTTAGATGAAGTAAAACTTCTGAAGACGAGGAAATAGAGGGAATTAGTTCCTATGAGCTGCAGATATGAAATAAATATAGCGCATACTTTCAATTAGGTTTTGCCGAATATCTCAGGACATAGGGAACTAAAATGGCACACTACTTAAATAGACAGTTTGGGGTAAGAGCGATTTTCGACAGCCGGAAGCTAGCTTCCTGGCGTCTATGAAACTGCTACGATTTGTGCCACATGCTAGTCAGCATGACTACACAACCTGCCAACAGGCAGAAAAGTTGCATAAAATATGATGTGTGCACTTATCGTATTTATAAGGCTACATGAAATGTAATAGCATGATAGTTCCACTCTTGCAAGCAACGACGTCGGGCCCAGTGGTGGTAACTTGCGCTTGAATTCGTCTATGGCGAATAATAGGTGATTAGTACAAGTTATAATAATCCTTTTGACCCATTTGGGATAATGTCGGCGACCTCGGCATGATTCGAATCCCCGTCCGACCGATAGCAAGGGCAAGGCTCGAGTGCACTCAATGCTCTGACCATTTGAACTACGAGGTCCCACCGGGAGCCGTGACTTTTATCACATTTGGGTCAGGTTACCCACCCACCCACCTGGCCTACTATACTGTACGGTATGCACATATTCTGGTAGAGTAAGCTGACTGCGCACGAAGGATTACCCAGGCAATCAATCTACCCGACTTTCACAATACCTACTGGTCTCTCACTCTCTCCCAACCTTGTTCTGATATGAAGACAACATCAAAACGACTGGATGGGCACAAAGTGGCTAACGAAGTTAAATAGTCCGTCTATACGTGCCACACGCACGACTTGACACAAACAATAACTTGATTCTCAGCCATGAGACGTGGCAAGCTATCACGACAATTCAAACGGTTCCAAACCGCGACTCTTAGCAGGACATGATTAGCTTATAACTTTGGGGAAATGTACTCGAACTAATAGCGCAATCCAAATTAGTTTGCACTAAATACATTTCCATCACAGTATTCTGCTTTTTTCTTCTGTTAAAGGGTAAAATCATGAGCTGCAGAAAAAAAACGTATGCGTGAAAGACAGTCTGGATGTTGCGGACTAACACTGAGTCACAGGTAAGTCACAACTGAAAGTACACACCTTTCATCTGGTGAAATCTATTCGGGAGGCAGGCTTGCAGATTTGAATGCTCGATAGACAGACAATGGGTGGTTAGATTTTCACAAAATCAACACAGCATTTGACGTCTGTTGTAACCCCTCATCACTTCCCCACATGATGCCATCTGCCGTTGGAGGAACAGATGTGTCTGACACATACACACACGCACATGTAGAAGACAACCCGAATTAATTATCCGCTCTCCCGCCACCCTAAAAGCCTTGATGTTATCGCTCCTGCCCCCGACAGCTAAACGAAAGAGGAAGAGGGTGGCTGACCCGAATGACCCCGACTGCAGCCGCCACGGTTGACTGTCAAGACGCATTAGCACTGAAGCAATAGACTGGTTGTGTCATCCGGCGAATTTTTCAACCCCCCCTTATCTCGAGCTCATCATCTCCTTGTGGACGAACTGCTGGCGACCACGGGCTCCATCTTCCACGCTCTTTAAGGGGAACTAGGGGGCTAAGGGGTTAAATCAGGTGCTGATATTTCACACGACTTTTCGACTATGACCAAACTACCCACAGAGATTGCTGTCTCTCTGACTGCTAGGCGAGGTTCCAGTTGGCATGTCCGAATCAGTCACTATGGTGTCTGAAGGTACGGGAACCGGTGGGAAACGGTAGGAGAGTTTGAAGACTGTCCTGTGTGATTTTTGTGAGTAGACAGGTGTCCGACCAGGCCAATATTTGGCTGGAGGTAACAGCCAAAAAGTAGACAGGTTGGCACTGTCTAAAACCGAAAGATACCCTTTCTTTTATTATCTGATTTAAAGAAGGCGTGATTTGCTACCAAACGAGTACAAGGAAGAATATTTTTGTGCATTTTTTCTCTAAAATATATTTGAATTTATGAAGGCAGTCAAAATGAATGATAAAAATGCATACTTCTCAAGTTGCCGTTTTTTTCAGAATCCGCTTCTTTGTAAGGGGTCGGGAAGAATCTCGTTAAAAGCCGACATCCTGCTGTGACTGAAAAGACTTGCGATTAGGCTGCACGACAATCTGTATTACAACCCTACTTAGTGTCGTTTTGCGATTGATTACCAGCCTTTTGCAAATTGCGGAATTTCGCTTGCAGCACTCGCCATACTTAACTTAACTATACATCAGTAATAATCAGCTCAAACTCTGAGGTACATAAGCTAAATTCCTAAGCTCCTCTAAGAAACGACTGAAGGGAAAAAGAAGCCTTGTTACTAAGTCACTTGTAAGGAATTCCCATCATGCAAAGTTAAAGACATAAATAATTGCGATATCCAACCAAGTATCGCAAATGCTCCCCTAATTCAATGCCGGACCATCACTTAGTGGACAAGCGAACAAAACCTGCGGACAGAACACTTTACCTCAGGATCCAAGGCCTGTCCAGGTACGAAATGAACAATTCGAATGTGTGTCCGTGTCCAAGGCAGAATTTCAAAAACCTGGGATTCCACGTCGCAGTTTGTTGGCCCTCCAAGAATGAGGACAGTTGTGCTGTCGTCCCGCTTTGGTCTGATGCCTGTTGAAATATGGAATAACAGAGAATATATGATCAAATACAATCGGCAGTAAAATAAATTAAAGCGATGTCCCAGCAAAGTAAACGAGGCATTTACTTTTCGGGGCAGAGAGTACGGGCTTAAGTTCGTGCAACATGCCGACATATGCGAAAGATTGATACTCCTTCGCTAAACGGCATTGAGTTAGGTTGTAATACTGCTTATTTTATGTTATATTTTGAAGTCATTTCAGGCATGATAGGATGTCGGCTTTTTAACAAGCTCCGCTGTGACCACTAACAAAAAGTATGTACTATAAAAAGTGGCTACTTAAGTAATGTGCATTTTTATCACTGACTATGACTGCCTTTATAAATTAAAATATATTCTATGGAAAACGTAAACGAAAAAATATTTCTTATACTCGTTTGGTAGCGAATTATGCTTTCTTTAAGTTTTATACTTAAAGAAAGGGTATCTTTCGGTTTTAAAAATGTCTCTTATTATCAGCTTTTTTTACGATTGTGAGGTGTTAATTCCTTATGCATCACATCCGTCAACTTATTAATGCTATGTGAGATCTTCTTCAAACCGTAGGCAAAAACGCACTTTTCCTTAAACAGGATGTACCCAGCGCGCAGTTTGTTAACCTTGAATTCTAGAGTAGCAGTCAGTAGGTTTAAAAATTATTCGGCAATTTAGAAACTTTTTTTAAAACCGAAAGATACCCTTTCTTTAAGTATAAAACTTAAAGAAGGCATAACTTGCTAACAAACGAGTATAAGAAATATTTTTTCATTTACGTTTTCCATAGAATATATTTAAATTTATAAAGACAGTCATAATCAATGATAAAAATGCATA